TGACAAAGACATAGTTCATGTCCCTGGGAATGTGAGAAATCACATAGGTGCATGGGACCAATTGTTTCAGCTGCATAACCCCACCACTTTCTGTGAAGGATCATATATCCACCCATCCAATGAGTTTTCCCTTTGGCCTCCATCAGACAAGGTAATTGCCATTTTAGGTTAAACCTCTCTGTTTGGTAAGTGTAGACCCGTCATATTGGGAGCTGCAAGGTTTCGTGGAAGAGTCTTCCATTTTAGGATAGGCCCCTCTCATTAGTCTATGGCACCCCTATCATCTCATAAAGAAATCTCACTAACTACATCATTGAAATGGATAACCCAATTTTATGGTGCATCTCCATCCACCAATTCAGCTTGTTTTCAAGCTAATGACGGAAGGCCTTTAGAGAAATCATCCTATGATATTCCCTATCTTATTGCACTTATATTAATCCAAAGGGAACTAGTATATCATCCTTAGGTTAGATTTACGTCATACCATAGTGGCTCCCACTAACTTTCATAAAGTCAGATTCAAATGGGCCTTTAATGGGCTAGGGTTCCCGTGAGGTTCCTCTTAGGGAGGAAGCTAATTAGGGGGCCCATTGAAAAAAGAGAGATCATGCAATGAGCTATGGGTATCTATAGGGATGAGAGATCCATCACATGGATGGCCGAACCTTGTAGGAAGGTCTCTCATCTGGGAATCGCATTCCCTATTTTAGAAAATAGCATTTTCAATGATCAATCTTGAACCAAACCAGACCAATCTGAAACCAAAAGGGAGGAGAGGGATATACCAGATACAAAATAGCAGTAACTCCCAATGAAGGTGTTCACGCCCAAGGAGAAAACCAAAACCCACTTCCATTAAAGATGACACAGTGTGTGTTGAAGAAAAATCAGTAGGATGGCTCTTTAGCAAGAACCAAATTCTTTAGCAAGAATGGAGTAGAGGGGTGGCGAGCATGACTTTTGATTACTTCTTCTACCAAGAAGCAATTCCTCAATAATACCTTGAGAAGTCTTGACTGACCGATCAGCGAGTTGCAGAATTATCGGGGTAGGTTTTAACTCGTCGATCCTGAACCTTTCATAAATAATAGAGGGGAGCAGATTTACACTAGCCCCAAGATCCAATGGGGCCTGATTGAAAGTGATTCTAGAGATGAAACAACTTATTAGAGGAGCACTAGGGTCTTTCATTTTTAGGGGAGTTGGTTTATGAGAACCACACTAACATTTGCCAAGAGCATCACTTTTTGTGGGGCCGATTGTTGCTCCCTCTTTCGAGTACACAGCTCTTTCAAGAACTTGGCGTAGGCCAGGACATGTTGGATCACGTCAAGGAGAGGGATGTTAATATGGACTTACTTGAATAACTCCCTGATCTCCTCATTGCGAGTCTCTTTCGTCTTTTGCAATGGCCCGGCTGTGAATGTGGTTGGAAAGGGAACTACAGATCGGTTAACTATAGGTTCTTCTTCTAAATTTTCCTTTCCTTTTTCTTCCCCCCGTAAACTTATGGTCTTCTTGCTCCTTTTCTTCTTCACTGATATTTCCAAGTTCCTTTTTCTCATACGGGTCCTCTAAAATCCTCCCACTCCACAAGGTCATAATAGCCTTGGCATTTTCAAACTGAGGGTTCTTAGGAGGTGGTTGAATCTGATGTGGAGGAAAACCCGGTGGCTGTTTTCTAGGATTTGCAACCAGTTGACTCGATAGTTGTCCTACTTCTCTCCTCGCAATGGCTTCAGCTAGCTGTTCTATTTGGCTTTCTAATCTAGCGATGGGCTACTACTGAGTTAGAATCAGTTGTTGAAGCTGCCTGAATTTGTCATCAACTGTACTAGACTGAGGAGGTTGTGGGTAAACCTGATAAGGTTGGACCGGCTGGTTCCTAGGGTAAGTCTGTTGGAATTGGCTCTGCACTTGTGGCCTCTAAAATTACTGGGCCATGGAGTTAGATGGATGGTACTGCTGAGACTATGTATTAGGTTGATGTGTCCTCCAAGAAAAGTTAGGGTGATTTCTCCACCCAGGATTGTAAGTATTTGAAAATGGGTCATTATTAGGCCTCGAGAAACTCTGGGTTGCTTAAACCTATTGGATAAACGGCAGAAACTGGGTCACCGTTGGACAATGTTGGGGGTGGGCCGAGCTAGCACAAATGGAACAAACTTTAGGATAAGGTGACAAGGTTGGGGATGGGCCAATTTGTTGACGAAATGGAAGGGCTTGATGAAGCTTAAGTTATTCATAAGAATTTGGGGTGTTTTTAGGCTTAATTGTTGAGATTCTATGGTTAATTTGGGTATTTATGAGTCAATTTAATGCATTCGGATGTTTTGTCACTTTTCAGGTAACTAATCATCAAAGATGAAAGTTATGGGCCAATTTAGGACAAGCTGATAAAGATTAGGGACTAAAGTGCAAAGCTCTACACCCAACTGTAGCCCAACTGAAACCTTATGGGAGAACAGCAGTTCGGCCCATCAAGGAGAACAGCCCAACTGCAGTTCGGCCCACTAAGAACAGCAGCCCAGTCCGCAGCCCTAGGGGAAGCTCCAAAGGCGGCTAGCTTTAGAGAAGGAAGGGAGGCTGAAGAGGAAAGGTATAAAAAGAAAAGAAAAAGAAAGAATTAGGGTTCGGACCCTTGAAGAAAAAAAGAACAGGAGAAGAAGAGAGTAGGAGAAGATCTTTTGGATGAACCACACTCAATTCGAAGAGAAGAAAAAAAGGAAAACACAGGAAAACAAAGGCGGATACAAGATTGAAGATTCGTGAGCCAAGATTGAGAGATCGGTTGCAAGATACTTTCTTTTTCTCTTGTAACATCATGTTTACTCTTGATATTGGGATGTTGCTTGTTCTTAATTACATCATGAGGGGCTAAGTTTCTATTGTTAGGGATTAATGCTTGATCGTGCATTGATTTTCATTCATTAATAAAATCGATGAGGTTCTTGTTATATTGTGTTATTTGTKCTTATTACTTATCATTGATTGATCACCAATGATTCGCTCTTTAATCAATATTATTCATTGAGAGATGATAATTGAGGTGGAACTAATAACCCTTATTCGACCAATAATTAGGTAGAGATATCATTTGTTGGTAGGATTTCCTTGTAGGTGTATTAATAGCTTGTGTTTATACAAAGAGGATTTCGATTGAAAGAATGAGAATTCATGATTGTAATTCCATTTAATTGAACATAGGTTTAGCTAATCGACTCTTGAGAAAGATCGACTAGTGCTTTTAGGAAACACCTTGGAATATAACAACCCTCGTGAGATTTTATTGATATTGAATCTTGATGATCGTGATAGGATTAATCCCTAGCAACTTTGTTATTGATTTTGTTCAAATTGTAGGTTTTTGTCATTTAATTTCCTTAATTAGTAGCGCTAGTTTAAATTCCTTAAATCACAAACCCAAATTGATTATTGCTTTAAACAAGTTGAGAAGAAATTAATAGGAGGCTAAATAATTCATTCCTCGTGGAAACGATTCTGTATTCCTTACTATATTACTTGCACAACTCCGTACTCTTGTGGATAGCGGTCAAGTTTTGGCGCCGTTGCCGGGGAAAGAATTTTATTTAACACCATAAGTAATTTAGTTTCTTTTGATTTAAAGCGCATTTCTTTATTAGTTTTTGCTAACTTTGTTTGCTTGCATTCTTGCTTTAGGTAGCGTTTTGGTGTATGCGAAGAACTCGAACTTCACAACCCGAGCTTCTTCCTTTCAGACCTGAAATTGAGAAGTTTGTTAGAGAAAACAGGAAAGCTAGCAAGGAAGGCTTTCAGAGATGGCGGAGGATAATGGAGGTAACCAAGCAGATCGACAWGATAATGAGAGAACTCTTAGAGATTTTGCTATGCYTGGGYTRCATGGTGCACAACAGAGTATTGCAAGGCCAAACATTAATGCCAATAACTTTGAGATTAAGCCGGCTCTACTCCAAATGATCCAATCAAGTGTGCAATTTTATGGCATGTGCAATGAAGATCCTAATGCTCACATTGAAAATTTCTTGGAAATTTGTGATACCTTCAAATACAATGGAGTTTCACATGATGCTATAAGGCTTAGGCTTTTCTCTTTCACCTTGAAGGATAAAGCTAAAGCGTGGTTAAATTCTCTAACATCAAATTCCATAACCACATGGGCACAGTTGGCATAGGCTTCCTTGGCTAAGTATTTTCCCCTAGCTAAAACCGCAAAGATCATCAAAGACATCACTACTTTTCAGCAATTTGAGAATGAATCATTGTATGAGGCTTGGGAAAGATTTAAGGATTTGTAGAGAAGCTGCCCTCACCATGGCTTACCTAAGGGACTTTTGATTCAGACTTTCTACAATGGAGCCATTCGCACTACTAGAGATACTATTGATGCTGCTGTAGGAGGTTCCTTGATGAGGAAAACTATAAATGCTGCTTTTGATCTTTTAGAGGAAATGGCAGCTAAAAATTGTTTGTGGCCAGCCGAGTGGCTAAATCCACCTAGATAGGGAGGCAAATTAGAAGCGGACTCCATAGCATCCTTGTAGGCTCAAATTTCAACTTTAATCAAGCAATTGGGCACCATGAACGTGCAAGCCAACGCCATCAACAATTCTATGCAACCAATCTGTGAGTATTGTAATGGTATAGGTCATGTTAGTTCTGACTGTTGTGTTGGAAATTTTAATTTTGCAGTTGGAAATTTTATAGAGCAATGCAATTTTGTGGGGAATCAATTCCAAGGAAGGCAGGTCAACAACCCTTACTCCAACACATATAACCCAGGGTGGAGAAATCACCCCAATTTTTCATAGAGTAGTAATAACAACAATGTTGGCAGTTCTAGTTTCCAAAACAACAACATGCCTAGACAGCAAGGACCACCAGGATTCCAGCCACATCCTCAGCAGGATAGATCAGCTTCTTTTGAAGCCAAGCTGGATAAATTCATGGACATGATGAGTAGCAAGATGAGCAGCTAGGATGAGGCCCAGAGAAGGATGGAAGCTAAATTTGATCAAATTGCAAAGAACCATTCATCTTCAATTCACAACTTGGAGGTGCAGATAGGCCAACTAGCCAATGTTATTTCAGCTAGGAACCAAGGTAATTTACCAAGCAACATTGAGACTAATCCAAGGGAGCAGCTCAAAGCAATTTCACTAAGGAGTGGGAAAGTGCTGGAGCCAAAGCAAGATGTGCAAAGTAAGAGGACAGGTACAGATGTTGAAATCTATGATGAAGAAACCATTGATAAGTCAGAGGACAACCAAGGTGACAAGGGGAATCACTCTAATGCCCAACGTTCACCCTATGTCACACGAATCCCTTTTCCTCAAAGACTGAAGAAGCAGCAAACTGAACAACAATTTTCCAAATTTTTGGATATTTTTAAGAAGCTGCAAATCAATATTCCTTTTGCTGAGGCTCTTGCCCAAATGCCTCAATATGCTAATGCTAAATTTTTTAAGGAGATCATCACTAATAAGAGGAGATGGGAGGATGACCAAACTGTATCATTGACTAAAAAGTGTAGTTCAATCATTACCAGCAAGATGCCTGCCAAATTGAAAGACCCAGGGAGTTTTACAATTCCATGTGTTGTTGGTAGCATTGAGTTTCCTAAGTGTTTGTGTGATTTAGGTGCTAGCATTAATTTGATGCCTTTGTCTATTTTTAGGAAACTTGATCTGGGAGGGGTCCACCGTAGACTCCACAACCGAAGCCGAATACATTGCCGCAAGCGAGGCTGCCAAAGAAGTCGTGTGGATGAAGAAGTTCATTCACAAGTTGGGAGTAGTTCCATCCAGCACATCACCCATCCCGTTGTTGTGTGACAACAATGGAGCAATTGCTCAAGCTAAGGAGCCACGAGCCCACTCGAAGTCAAAGCACATCGAGAGGAAGTACCACGTACTGTGGGAGATTGTTGGTAGAGGGGATGTCTTGATTCAGAAGGTAGCATCAACAAAAAATGTAGCAGACCCATTGACGAAGCCACTATCACAGAAAGTGTTTGAGAAACACGTGGAAAGCATGGGACTCCGGGCTTATACCAGATAGGACCTAAGTGCAAGTGGGAGTTGTTAGATAGTCTTTGTATGCCCTTAGCTTCAATCAGAATGATGTACTTTTGAAATTTATTGTAAATGAATAATGTGCATATTTGATTCATGTTCTTGTGGTTTGTTTCTGTGTTATACCCTTAAACTGGACACTTAATGAGGCTCGTGTTAGTTTAAAATGTTCACAACCGGTAGGTCGGTCTGGGTAGACCTATCTTGATAAGGCTGACACTGATGTGCCACCAAGTCGGTTGGGGTGGCCTATCTCAGTCGCCAGGGTGAGACCCAAGGCACATGCAGTRTAGGATTAATTGAATCTTTGAACTGGACCAAATTTCCAGTGTTGCCCTATACCTTGGAGATTAATGGGCAAAACTGGAAAGTTACACCTGACCCCTAGACTCGATTATGATACTACACTATGTGTCGGATTGGGCTGTCTTTGATATGCCAATCAGTGAGATCCTTAGCGGGGGTCAAAACCTGGGTATGTTGGGACAGTCTGAGAATTCATCTGAGTGGGTGATCATAGTGACAGGAT